CTCTTCTATATTTGTCAAATTGGGTTGTATCTCCACTTCATCTACAACAATTCCATTAGGCTCATCAGCAATATACTTCCTAAGTGAAGATATGTGAAAAATATTATTCAATCCTTACATGTGAGCTGGTAAAGCAATCTGTAAATTATATTTCTAATTATATCCACAATTTCATATGGACCTACATATATGGGGCTCAATTTTCATGTCATTCCAAATCTTTGCACACCTTTGAAAGGACTAACTTTGATAAAGACAAATCTCGTACTTCAAACTCAATAGGTGTGTGCTTGGCATCGTAATATTTCATCTGCATATCCTGCACTGCATTTAGTCTGTCTCTGGTCAGTCTAATTTTTTTATTAGCATCATCAACCAACCAAACATGATGGTGTTATGCAATTTCTTCCATACAAAACTTCATATAGAGTCATCTCATTACTACTCTGGTAACTGTTAATGTAAGCAAATTCAACCAAGAGTACATGCGGTTCTCATCCTCCACTAAAGTCAATGACACATAACTTTAATAGATCGACCAAATTCTAAATAGCCTTTTCTGATTAGTTATTTTTCTAAGGGTGAAAAGTTGTGCTAAAAGTCAATATTATACCCAAAACCTTCTAAATTTTCTTCCGCAATGCAATCTTACAATTTGAACCGCATATAATTTAGCTAACTTCTCAACATGGTATTTCTTTTTAATAGGCAAAAAAAAGTCAACTTAGTCAATGCGTCAATAATTACCCAAATAGCATCACAACTCTGACGCAATCTAAGCAATCCAATCATAAAGTCCATAACAATTTCCTCATATTTCCACTCAGAAATAAGGAAAGGTCGTAATTGACCTCCAAGATAGTGATGTTATGTCATCACTAGCTGACATGTTGACACTTAATCACAAATTTTATCATACTTCCCTTCAATCCTAACCACCAAAATATTTTCTTAAGATCTTAGTATATTTTATTACTTCCTTAGAGAATAGTATAGCAAGACAAATGTTCCTTATCTAGAATTTCTCTCAGATTATCAATATTTGAAACATAAATCCTATCTTTGTATCTCAATGTTCATTCATATATAATATATACTTATATAAATTTTTAGCCTTGAACTGATCCAAAATCTTCTGAATAGTGATATTCGTAGTCAGTGAATCTCTGATTCTGCCCTTCAATGTGAACTGCACAGATAATTGATTCAATTGAACCGTGTTGTCATCACCAATACCAATCACAAATAGCTTCAATCTCTCCAAATCTTTAAGTAATTAATCATACTGATTGAATGAGTAGTTTAAATTACTTAAATCCTTATACTCGGTGCATCTGCTACCATATTAGCCTTCCCTGGGTGATACTATATGCCTAAGTCATAATCTTTAATGATTTCCAACCATCTCCTCTGTCTCAATGTCATTTATTTCTGAGTAAAAATGTACTTCAAACTCTGGTGATTAGTAAATATCTCACATTTAACTCCATATAAGTAGTGTCTCCAAATCATAAGTGCAAAAACAACTGCAACTAACTCCAAGTCATTGGTATGATAGTTTTTTTCATGATTCTTCAATTGTCTTGAAGCATAGGCAATGACCATTCCATATTGCATAAACACACAACCCAATCCTTTTAATGAGGCGTCACTATAAATCTGAAAGTCATCTGTTCTTGAAGAAATAATCAATGTTACAGCAAGCATTAAATAAGTCTTCAGCTTTTAGAAAGCCTTCTCACAACAATCTAATTAGTCAAATTGCACTAACTTCGGAGTTAATCTAGATAATTACAAAGCAAGCTATGAAATTCCCTCTAAAAATCTCTTCTAATAACCCTTCAGGTCTAAAAAACTCCTAACCTCAGTAACGGTAGTGGGTTATGGCCAATCTGCAATCGCCTTGATCTCATTTTCCTCCACAAATATGCATCTTCATTGATAATATGCCCAAGAAAAATTACATTTGTAAGCCAAAATTCACATTTAAAAAATTTGGCATATAGTTTGCTCTCGTTCAAAATGTGAAAAACAACATGCAGATGATCTATAAGTCTGGCTTCATCTCTCGAATACACCAGAATATCATCTAAGAATACAATCACAAATGTATCCAAAACTACCTAAACATCCTATTCATCAGATCCAGAAAAATCGTCGGAGCATGGGGTCAGTCCAAATGGCATCATAAAAAATTCAGAGTGCCCATATATAGTCCTAAAAATTATATTTGTTATAACTTACTTTTTAACCCTCAACTGGTGATAACCTAATTTTAAATCAATCTTTACAAATACAGAAGCTTCTTCCAATTGATCAAACAAGTCATTAATCATCAGCTATGGATATTTGTTCTTCATAGTGAGCTTATTCATCTTCAAGTAGTCAATTCACATTTTGAAGCTCCCATCTTTCTTCCCAAATAACATTGGAGCTCCTTAAGGTGAGGTGTTAGTTCAGATGATCCCATTTACTAGCAATTCTTGCAATTGACTTTTCAACTCTTTTAACTCCTTAACGATCATTCTATAGGTTGCCTTCAATACTGACATAGAACCAGGTTGTAGTTCAATAGAGAAATTTATCTCTCTCATAAGAAGTAATCTTGATAAATCATCAAGAAAAAACTTCTGAATATTTCCTTACCAATAAAATATCACACAAAGATTTTACTTCCCTAGAGATGTTTGTCACATGAGCAATAAAACCTTGGTATCCACAATTCAACAATTTGAAAGATTTCAAAAAGGTAATTATCATGGATTTCAATCCTCTATCACTAAAATTTGCCTTTTGCCACCAAGAAACATTTATTTTGACAATCCTTTCATCGCAATCAATTGTGAAAAAATTTTTAAACAACAAATACATGCCTAAAATTACGTCAAATTCCACCAAAAATAACACAATCAAATGTGCATCAAAATTCTTGCACAAATTATTAGTTTCACCTGACATAAATGACTAACTTCTATAGAAGTATCATTTGGCATTCTAATAGATAACATCACAGGCATTAAGATGATATTCAATTGCATATCTTAAACCAATTTCCAGTTATAAAAGAATGTGATGCTCCTGAATCAAACAATATCTTATTGGTCTATCCTAAAGATATTGGTACCTATCATTAAAATCATTTAATTTAATATTTAGGGTTGACTTATTGATAAATTTAAATTATTGCAGGATATTATGAATGATATGACATGAATTCTATTAAAATTAAAACTGCACTTGATAAAAAAATTTTAAATGTAAAATATACCTATTACGACTACAGGGGAGTTCTTAGCTTCCTACCATGAAAGTGTAAAAACTTAGGGCTAAACATACTACTAGGTCTAACCTAGATTTGGCATTGATCCTAAAGATTCAGTTGCCTTCAGTCCGCCAAAGCTCCTCTGGGTGGTGTAACACTGCCCCTAGAATCTGCCGAAGCCCTCTATCTCAATCTAGGGCAATTCCTCTCCATGTTTCCTAGTTGGTGTCACCAAAAATACGTGTTGGATCCAGAAATACACTCACCCTTATGAGATCTTCCAAACCTATCACACTTCCTAGTTTCAGTCTAATTGCTAACATTATTGGATATGACCTTAGCACTTGCATTTCCTGACTGAAAAGTCTGTCTATCCTGAGAGCCCTGAGGAAAGTTGAATGCCTCTAAATTCCTCCTCTAGATAGCTTGTAAATTCAGCTCAATCCTTCTGACCCTCTTCACCAAAACAGAGTAATCATCAATTCCAAGTGGAATCAGTGGTTGCCCGGTCATATCCTTCATCCAAAACAAAAACCTAAAACTGCTTCTATGCATTTGGAATAGTGAATTCATTTTCATATTGTATAATTGATCAATCTGCACCAGTCCGAAAAATTTGTTCTGGTTTTGCCTTCTAGGTAAAAGTGATATGAACTAGTCTCTAAATGTGTTCACGAACTCATCTCACTATATCTAGTGGTTGGTTCTACCTCTAAACTTCACTTGCAACCGTCCTTCCGACCATCTCTCTGTTTCTCCCTCAAGGTAAAAGTGGCAACATTTGCTTTGCATCCCATTGAAGAAGGTTCATTCATTTAAAAATGAATGGAGAAAATTTGGGAGAGAATTTGAAGTAGATTGCTCATATCTCTTCACTTGTAATTCTCACTTGTTCTCCTTGGCCACCCCATCCTTATTTGTAAATTTAAATTGCAATTAACTCCTCAATCAATTCATATTTACAAATTAATCCTATCATGAATAATTATGCGAAATTTCTTAAGAGCTATCTAGATCAATCAATCAACACCGTCAGCCGATGCCTTTCATTGGCATCCTAGGTCTACCCCATGTCTAGCACCTCCCATCATCACCATGTTATTTTTCACCCCCTATACAGTATTATTGTTCACCCCTTATTTAAGATCTAATCCATACATTTCTTTTCACAGATATTGATGTCATACGACCAACTTCTTTTGTTAAATGGATGTTAAACTCTTTCACAAATCAAAGAAATATTAGTCACACTCCTTTTGCGACACTCACAACTTGTAGGCAAAAAACCTTTGAGCACTTTATCTTCTATCACTAAAACTCAAATTTATATCTTTTGTGATATTCCCACATTATTGAGGACATTTCATCTTCACTCTATTCCATTCTCATTCCAAATTCACACAATAACATGAATTCTGCATTTACAAAACACAATTAAGCACACATGCAATTCTCTCAAATTCTCAATTTCTAACACTATTTTGGATCTATTTAAGGTTAGAATAGATGCAGTTCTCAATTAAAAATGGTTGAAAATCTACTGTGAGAAAAACATTTTTTTTTCAAAACTACTATGGTATTATAAACCTTTCTTTTGTAAGAAAGTTGGACAACTCTTTTTCTACAATTAGCACACGCTGCCAGGCTTAAGAAAATGTCTCACACCATAAAAGTTGTTAAGAACTAACAAAAATAATAATAAAATAGTAAAGAACTAAATACAGAAAGAGAACAGGGCAGACAAAGCATATTGATTATTTGCAAGAAAAAATGTACCAGACCTTTGTACAAGTATGCAAGCCCTAGAATCACAACTCGGAAACAAACTTACAGAATACACCCTAGCTACCTATCAAGGGCGGCCGACTCGTAACACTGCCACGGCAGATAGGGCAAAGCGGAGAATTCTCCAGCCACCGGTCCACGCAAAGCCTGTGAAACACATGGTTGCAGCCTGGGAGTGCCCTGCACCACCCACCCTCCTGAAAACCCTCCAGACACACGGCGCAATCCTGCGCTCCTGATCCACCGCAGTAGCTAAAGCAGGGAAGGCGCCGGAGCTCTTCTGGAGAAAGGCCGCAGCTTTCAGGAGATGGTGGCCCGACCATCGCTTCGAAGAGCCGTCGACGGCGGCGAAGAACCCTTCCGACTAGGCCCAGGATAAGAAGGAAGCATACCGCAACGCCGGCAAATACGAAGAAAAGAGCAAGGACAAGCGCCATCACGACAGCCCTGAGAAGAAACGAGAGAAGCCAGGCGAGGCCTTTAGGCTTTACAGGCGGCGTTGGGAGGCCCGCGACGGAGCTGTGGTTGTCGAGCCTAGCCATGGATTCGTCGCCGTCTTCGCTGGTCATTTTTGGGCGCGGAAAAGAGGGCTGGATGAAGATGACCGGATGCACCGAAGGGCGGTGGGTTCCGTAGTAGATATTTCAGACTCTCTTGAGATATAAATGCCGCGTGCCAAAAGGGAAAATTCGTCCGTTCTCAAAGAAAAAATTATTCCATACTCTGTCCGATCTATAGTGTTCGGTCCGGATCGTAAATCATGAGATATAAATGCCGCGTGCCAAAAGGGAAAATTCCTCTGTTCTCAAACAAAAAATTATTCTATACGGTGTCCGATCTGCAGTGTTCGATCCGGATCGTAAATTATCTGATTGACCCTCTTGATGTATTTCGGTGGGCCCCATCGAAATTTTTTTTTAAAAAAAATGAAAATAATCATTCATTCTCTCATGCCCTATGTCTCAGTAGAACTCACTCTCCCCTCTCTCCTTGTCTCCCAACTTGTCTCTCTCCCTTCTCTCTCACTCTCTTTCCTGATTGACCCTCTTGATGTATTTTGGTGGGCCCCATCAAAATTTTTTAAAAAAAAAAATTAAAATAATCCTGACCGTAGAATCGGACACCGCATGCATCCTGACCGCTCTGCAATGTCCGCACGCAATAATCTCTCATTCTCAAAGAGGAGTTTATTCCACAAAGAATCTCACATTGGTTGCATGAGCAACCGAATTTTCACTTTTAGTAATAATTAAAAATATTTGAAAATAAATTAAATAAAGGATTTCAAAACATTGAGTTTGAATGTTCGTGAATAATATTATTAATAATATTAATTATGATTAAAAAAATACTCATTATTCATCTTAACTTTATTTTAAATTTAAATATTTGTTTTTATTAATATGGTAAAAATTCCTCTTTAAATGATTATACATCCTTTCAATCATAGGAGCTCCTAAAATCTTGTTCTTCTTGGAAAATCTAGTTCTGACAATTAGATAATGGTCTGTTTGGGCAGCTACAGCTTATCCAGTTTATCCAGATAAGCAGTTTATCCCAGTAATTTGTTGATAAGCAGTTTATCCAGATAACATGGCTAGTTGTTTGATTTGTATGTTTCGAAAACAGCTGATTCTGGATAAATGATCATTTCGCGTTTGTTCTGAACAAGTCGTTAGTTGTTTGGTTTGTGCGTTTGGAAAACAGTTTATTTGCAGGTTTTTGGTAGATAAAAGAATTTTTTTAAAATTATGTGTAACATAAATTGTAATCAATAATTTACATTTTACACTCATTTTAAAATAAATTAATTTAAATTTAAGAAAAAAGTAAACTCAAACAGAAGAAAATATGCAAAAGGTGAAGAAACTAAAGTGAATGACTTCTTATAACCCTTACTTTATTACACAATTAACACAAAGTACAGACACATATATATAGATTTGTTGCATGGCAAATTTGTAATTTAATAATAGTATAGAATTTTGATATTGACTTCATTTATCAATCTATCTATCGAGTTTTGCACGAAGAATTCTTTATTTTTTTTTCTTTGATTGGCACGTGGACTCGAGCTCCCTCAGGTTTATGCTCGGATCTTCACCAGAATCCATAACTTGGTGAGGTATCAAGCCAACTGAGATGTCATCAAACCTCAGCTCACTTGGGTTGAAGGCCAGTTGACCCATAGCGACAACCCTCTTGAACATTACATTCAATTTTTCTTCAAATTCCTGGTCAATTTCGCACACCTTAAATTTTTTTGCAGTTGGTACCAGCAACGTGAATGAGGGCATATGTGAATGAGGGCATATTAGATTAGACAAAATAGAAAGCTAAATGATAATTGAGTGAAGAGTTCGTGGGGGTAAAATTATTACCTCTAGCTTCTCAGCCCACCATTCCTCTGAAGCATCCACGGTACGCTTGATAGGATCCCAACCCAATCCCATGGATCCCATTTTCAGTTCATTCCATAACTGCTCGTCCTTCTTTAACCGATCTCACTTATTCTTGAATTTTAACATGTCATACTCCCGTCCTGTCATTTTCTTAAATTTCTTGGAAATATTGTATCACCCTTCTTTGTTAAAGTAAGTGGTAGGTCTATTACCAATTTCAATCTCCTTAATACATGATTGCAAAAAATGTTCGTGACATCGTTATCCCACATTGCTGACGTAGTCGCTTCTTTGTTCTTAGCCATAATGGCACTAATAAAAGATATGTATCAAAAAACACACAAAAAACATGATTCAAGTCTCTAGATATGCTTACAAATATTAGGTAATACCGAACAACATTGATTCAAGCCAAAAGGTAGAATAGGAAAAAAGCAAACATTGCATGCTCATACAAATCCAAAGCAAAACCGACTTGTCAATATGCTATCCAAATTTGGGAAGCTTGAAGGAAAAATAAATTTAGATTGCCTTTAACAACAAGTCTACTGCAACCCATATTAGGAAATATTTATCATCAAGCTTGGATCCATCTAGGATGGAACATATACTATCAATAAGCAAATTGCCAACTTTCCAACTTCTTGTAACTCGTTCATTTCAAAATGCTTTTTTCTTAGAGGAAAAGAGTTATATATATGCACCACTAAATTTCTTCTCCAAAATATCATTCATATTTATTTGTGGCATGATACTTTTTCTCTGCATCATTGAACATTTTGCATCCAAAATTCTCAAAATAGAAATGTCATAGAGAACGTCGTCGTTCCACTAGAAAACATAAATGTCATATAAGGAAAACGAAAATCATCTCAAAATAGAACACATCAGCATTCTAATTAAACATAATTAACAAAGAATGTCATTCAATCATTCCTTGTTATAGAAGTATTTTAAGTAAAGAATAATGAAGCAGAAATACCACTTAAATGCCACGAAACAAATCAACTCAAAATATACACATCGGCATACCAATGTAACATATCAACATTCATTTTAGATGCATTGAAGCAAAATAGCAGCAGAGAAGAATTTCAAGACTGGCCACAAACATTTTTAGCAATTGGGACATTCGGCAACAATGAGTTGGGGGAAGATTCACAAATAGCTCAAAGTTCTTCTGAAACTCAAGAATCATCACACAAAATTTCAGATCTCAACATAGAAGAAGTTATCAAATTCCAGAAAGAAATAAGCAAACTGCTAAATCTCAAGCTCAGTTCAAGCACATATGGAACTGAAACGGCTGAAATCCAGAGCGCTGATCACTCAATAAATGAATCTGTAATTACTTCCTTAACTCTGGAAGCTGACAACACCATTTCTTCACTCAAAATCTGTAAGGGATCAACAGATGATTCCGAAGATTCCAAGTTCACCTTAAACAAATTCGAACACATGCTTTCTGATGATTGCAATTGGATCAGGCAAAGATCACTCCCTTCCCTTCTCAATAAAATGTTTATAAGCAGAAGCAGTTTTTCACCACAGCCAAGTTTAAGAGACTCAATTTCTGAATCAAAACTGAAGAAGGTATGAACTTATTCAAAATTGCTTTTTTTTTTTTCCATTTTAAAAGTTTTCTTTTCACTTCAATTAATGAGTTTCTTCTGCTCATTCTGCGCTCATAAGATTTTGAAGAAAATAATTCACAAAAAGATTCATCCCCGAACTGTATCTCGACCCCCAACAATGAAGTATTTGCAGAAGAACAATGAAGAAGATAAGGTGGAGGAACGTTGAAAACGTCGTTTTTCTATTTAGAAACTGCATTTGAGCAGCTTATCTGAAAACGCGATTGGTTTTTTACACTAAAATTGGAACATGGGTCGATCACTGCGATCAGCGTTTCCAAAGATAAGCGGCTTATCTCGATAAGCACAAGCTGCCTCAAACGCACCCTAAGTGTATATTAAAGCCATGGCCAAGTTTCTCGGCCAGAGTTTCCTTTTGATGGTTATAAAGGTTAGTGATTTTATAAATTTGAATATAATGTGGATACTCTAAATTTTAATCTAAGACCGCCATTAATCAACATAATACATACTAAAAATTGTATATAATTATCTTCAAATCATAATTAGATGTTCATCAAATTATCTTTGAATCATGATCAAATCATTCTTAATTATGATTTAAGCAATCTTCAAATCATATTTAAATAATGATGAAATCTTCTTCAAACTTTTTAAAATTATAATCAAATCATCTTCAATCTATCTTTAAATCAAAATCAAACTGTCAAGCAAGTCTCGAACAAGTTTAATGCAAAATTCCTATTCTTGAAAGCATGTAGAGATTACAAACATACTTATCCTCACATTTAAACATATGAATTTAGTTGTTATGTTACTATTTGGTCCTTTATTAATCTTTTTAGATCATGTTTCACCATTTTTTAGGACTTGAAAGATTTATATTTGATGGTTTAAAAGTGAAGGAAGGTTGATGCGTGCTAGAAAATTCGCGGCGGTAGAGTAATGAATTATCGTCTTAGCGTTGCAAGAAAATTCAGCATACACTCAGATGAAAATGAATCAAGCTGTAATAACACCAGAAGTTTTTACGTGGAAA